GGTGTTATCATAATTGAATTATAAGTATAATTTTGATGGGAATAACCTCAGCAGTGCTATGGAAGAATCTTGGTGTTCTGGTTGATCAGTTTCTTAAGTCATTGAAACAGTTTGTTGCTAGTGGAAGGGCACATGATGTTTTAGGTTGTATCTACAGAAATATTGAATTCAAGTCTAAAGAGGTTATATTGTCATTGTATAGGTCATTCATTAGGCCACATTTCCTTACCTTAGAAAGGACATTAATATGTTGGAAAAGGTTCAGAGGAGGGTTACTAAGATGGTACCTGGGATGGAAAGGTTGTCATATGAGGACAGGTTAAGATCTCTGAAATTGTTTTCTCTTGGAAAAAAGAAGAGGTAGAGAGGTCCTGATTGAAGTGTTTATAATTGTTAAGGTATTGATGCATCATCTTTTTTCATATTTAATGGCAGGAATGGTAGGACTAAGGAACCCAGATATATATTTTTTTGGTAGGGTTGGAGTCATTTTCAGACTGTTTTATTTTTCTAACAGAGTGGTTGGCCTTTAGAATGTGTTGCCTTTACATGTGGTTGATGTAGTTAATTTAACCCATTTACTACTGATTCGATGTATAGAGTATGGTCTTCCCCTGGCAGTTGAATGTGAGTGTGCTGTATACAGTGTATGGCTCACACATATTCCGCGCATGTTTAAAGCAGCTGTAGTCAAAGGGTTAAGGGAGTTTAAAGGAAGGCTTGATAAATATTTGAATGATAATTGTTGGTTTGAGTGTTTTATTTATTTTAAATTTTAGTCAGTGGATGGGGTGGACTATATGGACCAACAGATCCCTTGTTGTCCTTAAATTATGTGCGTTTATGTATGTGTCATAAATTATCAAATACTCTGATGCATATGTTAGTTTGGTATTTTAAAATTGGAATTCATTTCACTTAACAATAAGAGGAAAAATTATTATTTGGGTAATTCTGGTCATTAAATATGCACTTCTATACAATCTTGATGATCCAGGTTTGAATCTTTGTTGTGGGAAGTTTTATTTTTTTGAAGATGCAGTGAATTTTATTTGTGTGTGCATACCTAATGTGTATGTTACATTGCAACAGATAAGTGTTATACTTTTGATATACATTTGATTGAATAATGAAAGATATGAAGCTAGAAATTGCTTGATTTTAGAGTTAGTTTATGGCTCAATAGGACTTTTTTTATGCTATCTTGAAAGAATAGTAATAGAAAACACAGAAAAACTGTCACTGAAAACTAAAAAGCCATTAGAAACTATCCTAACAGCAGGAAATTAGTAAAGCTAATTAGCTGTTACATCAAGATCAATAAACTTAAGACATGGTTAACAAGTTTGTATTTTCAAACCTTTCTTTATCTGCACACCTAGCATGTACAGGGTCATCTGTGTGAGTTTAAAACACTTGAGGTTTGGCATGGTCTAATGGTTAACGTACAGGACTGTGAATTCGAGGATCCGTTTCTGAAAAATTATGCTCTGCCCCTTGGGGCCTTGATAAAAGTGATAATCAAATCTCACTGTTCGATTAGAGTAACTCAAGAGTTCAAATTTGGTGACGAGGAACCCACTTTGAGAACTAATAATGGCTGGAGACGGC